AGTAGGTTCGATCATCGTATCACCAGCATGGCTGGGAGCGATATCGTTGGGAAATTACTGTGACATAATTAATTAATTAATTTTGGGGAGCTGATGAATTTTGTAACATATTTTATTATTACTTTTTACTATTTATATTGAATTAGCCTGTGGGAGAAAATTAGTGGGAGGTAAAATAACTCTCCCATAACTATACCTGACTATAATATAATTGTATAGCAAAGAACTCCCAATATTTTGGGAAAAGATAAATACTTTTATGCTTTTGTAAATTTATATTAATTATTCCCTAAAACATAATTCTCCCATTTAAGAATATTTTATTCCCATTCTGGGAGAGAAATAATATTTCTTCGGGAGTAAGAAATAGGGATAAACATTCAAAGAGATTGTGCAAATTAAATACAACAAGCAATAATAAATTTTTATAAACTTTAATCCTGACTCATAGTTCTTTTGTCCAATATACAGAATTGGGAGACCCACAAGTTGTCTCAAGGGAGAAAACCCCTGAACGGCAACATACCTTAGAGCACAGTTGTGACCATTGTGAAGCCTACTCTACATTCATAAAAAAATTGACACACACCCCAACACTACTCGCTCTGCATTGCTGTCCCTTCCTTTCAATAATTAGTCGATTTTAATTTTAAACAAATTAAACTATTGACCCTGTCTACTTCAGTGTCTTATTATGGCTAAAGTGCTATCTCCCCTACCTTTTTTTTTATAAGGATCAGCTCTTAAGGATTTTTTTTAATCTTTCAATGGATTTTTTTTATCTCCTCGATAAAGAAGAGTCGGATTAAAAATATTATAAAAGTAAATCAAAGTAAGGAAGGTTCTGTATCGGAAGTCATCATACAGTGTGTAAACTGACTTCAAAATAATTAAACTTCCCTGAAAACTTTAACTGGGCAACAGCTGAATACTAAGAATGGGCATGTTGAAGATTGTGTTGCTTGTTTTCATTTTGGGCTTTATTGTCGGTAAGCAGATAAAAATTGGTAAGTTTAAAACATTATAATAAAGGGAAATCCTTCGACTTAGATTTTTTTCATTGCGGGCAATTAATCTATCAAAGAAGAAAATTTTATACGTACATAAAATTCGGTTATTTTTTTTTTTTAAAATAGGTACTTCGTATTATATAATAATGACGTAACAATGTCGTATGGATAAATAGGAGGGCAATATTTGCACAAATGTAATAAAAAGCATCTGCGTAAAACAAATTGAATGCTTTATTCTCTCTCTAAAATAGCGATATTTATGTGTTGTTGTTTTTTTTTTTAAATCTTGTATATATTGCGTGTACATTACAGAAATACATATTTTTATTTTATGCTTACATGACTGTATGTACATGTATGGTGTGTGGCAATGCACTTTGAAAAAATTACGCACTTTGAAAAAATTTTTCAAAGTGCGTTAAATTTTGGGACCAGGTTAACGCACTTTGAAAAAATAATTTTTTTTTTCAAAGTGCGTTAATATCGACCATATTAACGCACTTTGAAAAAAAAATTCTGCATGGCTTAGTCAATATTCCTACAAATTTTAGGTATGATAAATTATCATTTGAACCGGATATGATACTTTTTGTCCCCCGCTTGAAAAGTGGGAGATATTTAAAATTTGGGTCTATCTGTCAGTCCGTCCGTCTAGCTGTCCGTCCATCCGTCTTTCCGTAACGCTTTCGTTTCCACACGATATCTCGCCAACCCTTTGAACATTTGCAATGAAATTTAACATAACAGAATCCCTGTGGCCTTAGGAAGACCCCTTTTGAATTTCGGGTCAAAAGGTCAACATTCAATGTCGTAAAGAACTACGAACGATAGTATTGTTCTTCCGCCTATCTCTTAGTCAATTCTCAAAAGTTAACATATTGGAATGATTCTAAAAAAATTATAGATATTTATATGAATTTTCATAAAACCTTACTTATTTAGGATACCAAAGAGAAATAACTCTATAATTTTGGCAAAACTTGTGTTTTTAAATACCTGGAGTTTAACAGAGAGATTATCAGATATGGTATCAAATTAACAACGAAAAGCAGACAGGTATTGTAGATTCCTTAATATAAGCGAGGAATTAATTTCTGCGTAATTTTGCGAGAAGTATCACTCGCGAAAAAAATATTACTCGCTTTTATTTTTCTGGTGCTTAAATCTATGTAAAATCTGTTCATTAACCGTTCATTCGCGAATTATAATTCTAGCGATTTGACGTTTGAGAGCCAGTTCGCGATAAAAAAACACTCGCGAAAAATAAGGAATTTACAGCTAGTAATTAATATTCTGATTTTCCTGAAAATGAACATAAATAGACTTTGAGATTTAAAGGAACAAAATTTCGATTTACTACAGACTTCCTTGTACAGTGCTTATACTGTATTTAGAATGCTCTTTTTTTCAAATATCATTGACACTTAAGGTAACGAGTTATAGAAATAGATATATCTGGGTGGGAATGATAAAGAGTTGAGCTGATAGACCTTAATTCAGCCAGTCTTTTCTTCGTTTTCCGTTTCTTGGTTTTCTTCAATCCATCAGTTTTTAGAAAGAAACACATCAAAGTAAGGGCACCGCGGAGCATTCCTTCCCTAAAAAGCATGTTCAGTAAATCATTTGACATCGATCACGATACAAATTACGTCAATTCCACACAGAAAAAACTAACATACACATAAAGTAATAACACACATAATCGCATCACTATATCCCATCATACGTTGCGAGAGGATAATACTGTTGTCTATTTCTAAAATATAAGTCTAATTCCTTTTGTTTCATGAAAATTTTTTCAAAGTGCGTTATATGTTTACATGGTGTAAAATTATGATGTACAGTTTTAACGCACTTTGAAAAATTTTTTCAAAGTGCGTTGATTTGGTCCCAAATTCAACGCACTTTGAAAAAAATTTTCAAAGTGCGTTAACCTGGTCCCAAAACTTAACGCACTTTGAAAAAATTTTTCAAAGTGCGTAATTTTTCAAAGTGCGTTGTAACAATGGTGGCATATTACTACATGTGCTTATGGTAAATGGAGAAAATACCTTTTGCAGGTTGTCATTTCATGTTTTTTAAAAGGAAAAAAACCAATAATTTTAGCAAATCAACACCTAATTGAAATAAAGAAATGAGAAACTAGACGAAAGTAAATGGAAACAATTGAAAAATATCAACAAGCAACCAATATCACATATCATATCACAAGCCACGATTTTCGCTTCCATATTCTATTTCCACAAAATAGAATGGACACAAAACCCGTGGCTTGCGACGATGGCTTCGAAATGACAATTCAATATAATACATAGAAGAAATAACATGTAAATGATACATTTCCAAGTGTAAATTAAATAAACTTCCGGTCGGTTTTAACCCGGTAGGGACTGGGTTTCCTCCAATCCATCTGCAGCTGGAATACAATGAACCGACTGTTCAAGACGTACAAGTACAGGATAGGCCGGTGTAGATCGGTCAAATATTAAACGTTCAAACATAAGAATGGAAACTCCTTGTATATATTCTACTAAATAATAAGCAACTTCCTGTTTTTGAAATAATCCTACATGTAGATTATACAACCTTGCCATTGTGTGCTGTGGGACACAATTATGATTTATTATTTCTGAAAGATACATGACCATTCGATCAAACCTAAAGTATATATTATACATGTACATGTAGTTTTTTATTATTATTATTTTATAATAAAGTATAGAGTAAAATAACTTCCTTTTACATTAACTACTACATGTAGGTATTAAGATACATGACCTGTCGATCAAACCTAAAGTATATATATTATACATGTACATGTAGTTTTTTATTATTATTATTTTATAATAAAGTATAGAGTAAAATAACTTCCTTTTACATTAACTACTAGGTATTTACTTTCCTGCAACTATTGTTTAAAGATTTCTTAATGTTCTTTCTTTAGCATTAAACTCAGTCGAGGCATACGCATGTTACAGTGACAGTGAATGTCCTTCCAACTTCAAATGCTGTACCGGAACTGCGTGGTGTTGTCAGTATGGGTACATCTGTACTGGAACCGCTACCTGTCTTAGTGTTGGGTATGCAGGATTTTGAATTTATGAAAACAAAGTTTTACATATTAAATACATGCTTATAGTGTAATGAAAGTTTTCCATCACAAAATTAGAAAAGTTTCGGGGGTTTAGTTGGATGGGGGCTATACGTGGACCGAAGACATTTTCAAACTCATATGGGAAACGGCGTGTAGAAGATAGTATGTATTACACTTATCCGATGGTTGTGAGTGGGATAGCTCTTTTATCAAACCCGCGACAGGGAACTATTCCCCGAGGGCTTGCCCAAGGGGAATAGTTCCTGTCAAGGGTTTGATAAAAGAGCTATCTCACTCACAGCCAGTGGATAAGTGTTTTATTATACTGATGTATATTATAATTTCTTAGGTTTTAATTTACTTTGGTGTTAGATAACACTGCAAGAATGAGCTGAAATCCTGATGACGTCACAATGCTACAGAAGTCATTATGACATCACAAGACTATGAATTTAACGCTGGAAATTAAAATCGGCGTCAAAAATTGCATGAAAATTTTCCGAGGGTCGGGTAGCAAAAACTATACCCCGGGGGTATAGCTTTCTATGGGGGGAAATTTTCAGACTATGAGGAATAGTTATTTTACCCTCTGAACTTTATATAGGAAACATTTTAACAGAAGTATAATAATGTATCTTATTATACTTCTGTTAAAATGTTTCCTATATAAAGTTCAGAGGGTAAAATAACTATTCCTCATAGTCTGAAAATTTCCCCCCATAGAAAGCTATACCCCCGGGGTATAGTTTTTGCTACCCACACCTCGGAAAATTTTCATGCAATTTTTGACGCCAATTTTAATTTCCATGCGTTAAATCCATAGCCTGATGATGTCATAATGACTTATATAGCATTGTGACGTCATCAGGATTTCAGCTTATTCTCGCAGTATTATCTAACACCAAAGTAAATTCAAACCTAAGAAATTATGATAAACATCAGTATAATAAAACACTTATCCACTGGCTGTGAGTGGGATAGCTTTTTTTTCAAACCCTTGACAGGAACTATTCCCCTCGGGCAAGCCCCTTGGGAATAGTTCCCTGTCGCGTGTTTGATAAAAGAGCTATCCCACTCACAACCATTGGATAAGTGTTTATTATCATTTTATCCTCTATTGCGTATATAACTATTCATGTTTTTTCATCCAAAATGGACTCAACGCTTGGTAAATTGTGTATATTTTGTTTTCTTTTTAAAATATACATTTATAATATATCATCAAAGATATGAAAGATGTTGTTTTGTTGAGATTTAATTTTTGTCAATGTCTTTTTTAAGAAACAAAGGACAATTTCATATTTTTTTCTTGACTTACTAGTTCTCCATCTGCATTGTGTTTTGTTATTCTATATATAACAAAATAATAATACATAGCTAAACAGAAGATTATCAAATTGATGCAACCAATTTAGTAGTCTGGTATCTTTCCTACAATTCTGTTCGAGCACTCTCTACATACAATTCCGTCCCTGCATTCTATACATTATGTAAGAAGAATAAATCATGAAAATAATGTATATTAGTATGAATTCAAGTTCAAACTCCATTTTAAACAATTCAAATCGTAAGCAGAGCAAACACGGACCTCTAAAAACACCAGAAGTGGGATCAGGTGCCATGGAGAAGTAACCATCCCCTGTCGACCGGTTACATCCGTTGATTGATCCTGGTTTCAAAAAATAGTACACGAATGAACGAAATTGTGGGAAGGGTAACAGATTTTATTTTAATTCTTTGTGACAGTGTGATCATCGGTCCTGTCGTTGTCGTCGTGATTCTCATCATCGGATGTGTCGTCGCCGTTGTCTTTTGTTTAAGTAAGTGTCTGTTGACTTGTAATTTTATTATTAGATTTATTTAATAATTGGTCGTCCGACCATTATATCTAGAGGAATTGGAATAATAAATGGTATTTCATGGCAAAAAGGCTTATTATTTCAAATTTTTTTTGAATTCAAATCATTAAAGCTCCATTTTTTTTTTTATTAATGAATAATGTTAAGGCTGTCAGTGCATATTAATTTGTCAGGAAGAACAATGAATAAAACCCTGATAATTTATATTGAGTTTACTTATACAATGTACATGTTGTGTAACTTCATATAACAAAGTCTTAAACTATATGAACACGTGTCTCCAAGGGAAAATAATTATAATTCCGTCACGGACATAGACCGAAAAATCAGATGAATTCCTCTTCTTCTGAGAAATGGCATGGGTAAATTCTGAGAGCCTTTACATAAATATCATCCACTCATTAAACTAACGCATGTTTCTAAATTTCATTTTTTAAGGAAGAAAACGACAGACAGCAGGTGTTGTCTACATTCCACAAGGCGCCACACCTCAACCAGTAGTGGCACCTAAATTTTAACTTTATCAGTCTAGAAACGGACAACTTCCAGGATACGGACAATGTAACATTACGCACAACCACAAAAAAAAAATTGTAGAGAGCACAGATTGAAGATATACATGTATCCATGAGCATTCACGTGAACTCATAAACAGAAAGTGAGAGAAATAGGGTTTATATTGCATGAAGCTTGATCATTTGCTTTTATTGAGTTATATTATTCTGTTTTGTCTTTACATGTTCTCCTTACTACTTGCAAGTGCATTACTTTATATATTGTGAAAAAAATAAATCTGCATCTATTTTTGATAATTGTAAAATTTACGTTTTTAAATATGTTCTGTTTGTAGTTGCTTTCTCAAATTCCAGCAAAAAACTAACCAGCCAACACTACATATGTAGCTCAATCAACACTTTGGAAGTTTTTTTTTCCTTTTATCAATAAGGTCAATATGGAGAAAACAGAGTGCATTTCCTTAACATTACTAAACGTAACTGCGACAAATTCACTGTGTCACATGGAGTAGATATTTTTTTTTTTACGAACGATATACTTTTACTTATTCTCTGGTAATTAAAATACCAGATCCAACGCTTATTTTTAAGTCAAATGACAAAGTTTTTTTTAGAAAAATCTGCTAGTTACAAAAGTTGTGTGAAAAAGAATATGCCGGCCAAGTGACAATTTATTTTGGAAAGTGCGAAATCAATTACATGTGCTGTAAATCACTTTTTATTCGCGAGAATTTTATTTCCGCGTAATTATACGCGAGTCACCTGTGAGATAGCAAAATATCAGTCTCGCGTATCATAGTTTTCCTAAGATTATTTAGAGGAATAACAACAAACTATGTCTCGCTAATAAAGAGTCAATGACTATCTCGCGAAACTAAGGTACATGTATCTCGAAAATTATTAGTAAGTGATCTGCAGTAAAACGGGCATTATTGTCAGGAACCGACCCCCCCCCCCCCCAATCCTTCGATTACTTGGATAATTTATACATGGCCGAAGGTACCGGGGGTCAATAATTTTCCCGATATGTGAAATACTGTAGAAAAATTAGCTGTTATAATATAATGCTTGTGCCCCCCTCTATAATTAAGTCTGAACCCCCCTTCCCCCTTTTTTTTGGCTTTTCAAGAAATTTTTGGTAGTTGAAAATCGAAATTGTATGGCAGTGCCCACTTAAGTTCCCCTTCATTCAAATGAAATTGCTTCCTACCGTACGAGACTGTGTATATATGTTAATAGAAAATTGACCGTAGAGCTTAACTAGAAAATTACACCGAGTAAAAAAGTGGGAAAATACATATATCCTATAGCTAGTTACGGTTTTACTAACCGATGTTTGAATCATTCGGCGGTTAAAGTATAAGTCACATTATCCAGCGATGGGGTATACGATGAGAAACCGATGCGTTTTTTGATGAAAATGGTGTGGTTGCCGGCCGGGCACCACTAGTGATCGGACGGTGACTGAGTCTTTTTTGCGAATCGGTGGGGTCATCGGTAGGAAATAACTCGTAGTTAAAATTCAGCGATGTCTCCAACGGTGCCTCACATATCGCTCCTCATCGGCAACCCATCATTAACACATCTGTCAAGGATCGGCCGATGTATGGCCGAGCATCGTCTAATATCCGTTGAATCTGAGGTCATCGGGGGGTTGAGTGGTGCTCAACAGATAACGACCGATCATCGGTCGATGTTCGACCAAACATTGGCCCGTAGTCGACCGATGTACGAACGATGTTCACCAATGTATGAGCGATGTAATATATACATCGGCCGATTATCCTGGAACATCGTTTAATGCTTAGCAATGCATCGCTGAACCTTTGTAAGTCCGGCCGGCAACCACGACATTTTTCTCATAAAACGCATTGGTTGCCCATCGTATGCACATCGCTGGATAATGTGACTGATACTTTAAGGACTACTGGGCCGATGTGGACCGATGTTGGGGCATCGTTCACACCACGGATTACTACCGATTACCACCGGTC